CCCTGTCAATGTACCATTGTAATTGTTTTTGAATATTCTTTAGCAAAATTTTACTTGCTTGCGATATTAATGATATTGTCTGATGATTTCCACATTCCTCATGGTCACCTCTCTGGAATGGGCACAAATATGAATCTCTTCCAATCAGTTGGCCAGGTATCTTTCTTACAAATTTCTTGGCATAGAGGAGTGAGTGCCTCCAGTGTCACCATAGTTTGTTGAAAGATTTCACTTTGTATTCCATCAATTCCTGAAGCCTTGTTCTTGGCCAATGCCTTCAAGGCACCTTGGAATTCTTCCTTCAGTATCGTTGGCTCTTGATCATATGCTTCCTCTTGAACATTGAACATTTCCTTTTGGTACAGTGACTCTATGCATGCCTTCCATCTTCTTTTGATGCTTTCTGCATTGTTCAATATTTTACCCATAGAATCCTTCTTTATTGCAAGTTGAGACTTCAAATTTTTCTTCGGTTCCCTTAGCTTGAGAAATGCAGAGGGTGTTCTTCCCTTTTGGTTTTCTAATTTGAGGTTTTTGCACATTTCATATTATATTTTACATTGTCTTCTCGAGTCACCCTTTGAAAATTTCTATTCAGCTTTTTATCTCCTCATTTCTTCCTTTTGATTTAGCATCTCTTTGCAATAAAGCAAGTTTCAGAGCCTATTCTGACCTCCACTTTGATCTTTCTATTTTTTCTTGTCTTCCTAATGGCCTTTTGCTTTCTTGCTGTATGATGTTCTTGATATCATCCCCAAATTCTTCTGGTCTTCAGTTATTAGTGCCTAATTCATCAAATGTGTTCTCAAGATGATCTCTAAATTCAGATGTAATATGTTAAAGGTCATATTTGAACTCTTTTGGAGAATGAGGAGAAAAAGTTGTAAACGTCCATTAATAATCAGAACATGGAATGTATGAAGTAAGAATCTAGGAAAATCAGATGTTGTCAAAAATAAAATTGAAAGCATAAACATCAGCTTCCCATTGAGCTTAAATAGACTGGTATTGGTCATTGTGAATTAAACAATCACAATTTTTTT